TTTTACTTAATCACAAATTAGAAACTTTATAAAGCTATTCTTACCCTATATAATCACAAGCTCAAATATTATATGTGAATAGCGAAAAGATCATTAGTAATTAGTTAATTTTATTCATCTAAACTTATACTTTTTTATGTGAAAGGTAAATATCATTAATGTTGAGATAGACACCAGAAAAAATTACTGCTGAGGCAAATATCATTGATGTCAAGACAGCACTAGTTTAGCAGAATCGAAATTTTCCCTAAGGGGAATTTTCTAAATAATGGGTCAGCTATTCCTCTCATCATTAGAAGAACATATAATAATTTCTTAGCTCAGACTCTACATGATAATGCTTTCTGGAGAGTAGGTTTTCATAACCCTGAATCTCTACAATTTGCACCTTAAGAATAATTACCTTACCTGGAAAAAACTAATTTAAAAGATTAAAGGAAACCATAAGTAATTATAAACAGGAGTTTTTTAGGTTAAAGTACACTGAAAGAAACTTATCTTTCAGAAAGATATGATAGGAAGACTCTACAGACACTATAGAGCCTTCTAACAAAAGGTCTGGGGAAGCAGATGCCTTATTAGATTTAAATCTACTATTCTTCCTGGAACAATCCCAACTAGCTACTCAGGCACCTAGGGTCACTGTTTATCTTCTTTTTATGAAATAACATATTTAGGTAATTTTCAGGTAGAATAGCTAAGTGATTTATTGTCCAAAATGGGACAATAGCCATAAACTAGGACTGTACTGTTGAACACCCTAACCACAGGGGAGAGCATGTTCACAGAAATCAGGTAAAAATGGAGACAGGAAAGAGAAAGAGATTATGAATGAATACAAATTAGTCTGGAAAGAGAAAAGGAAAAGGACATATAGTCACGTGATGGTTATGTGAAAAAGGAGAAGAGGAGGCTACATTTACTGTGGCCTGGTGATAGGAAGGGATTTACATAGATTATATCTGAGCCTCACAATGTTTGATGCCAACTGATAGCTTCTGCATTACTACTCAGCCACCAGTCACTTTTTGGTGCCAAGGACATACTCTTCCAACAAAACTGAACTCCCAAAAACGATTGCTGGATTTACAGTAGTTGTCCAAACCTTTGATCAAGTGTTTTCCCTGATGTGGAAAATACCATATGCAGATTTTAATTTTCTAATATTTTAGATAATTTATCTGAAACATGAATAGGTTTCCTCCTATTCATACTCCTTTTTCAAATTATTCCACTATCATGAATTGTCACTTGTCAGGTTCCCAAATGACTGGCTATAATTTGAAAGGAACAGATAATATCTCTTTCTTGTAAAAACTAAAATATACCTCTTAAGGTACTATTATGATGTTGGACAGCAAGTGGTGTATTATTATTTGAGGAGTAAATATGTTACTTAATATATGACTTCCTACTTGAAATAACTTATGTAAGAATCCAGTACCCCACAATGAGGAAGTGCTCAGTACATATGTTGATATGGAAAAGGAAAGCTATTACAAAAAATATATAAAATATCTTTCATGAGGAAAAATTGTTTTAACAAAAAAAGTAATTTTCTCATTGTAAATAATTAGAAGCAAAAAATACCTCCCATACAAATTTAGATAACAAATATTATATTTGTATTTGTATTATAAATATACTTTATTATATGAAGGATTCATTATATTTTATATAACCAATGTCATGAAAACAAAATTCAGTGCTTAAAATTTACATTTCTGTACTACATGTATATTCCATTGTAATAAGTATTTACTAAGAGTATAGTCTTTCAGCATTATCTTCTCAACAGAGTGAACTAAATCTTTTAAATTTAAACAAAATTTATTTTATACTACATATTTTAAAATATATTATAGCAATCATATTTAAAGGAAATATTTAGTGAATTGTTACCTATAGTAATTTACAGAAAAAATATATGTTTAAAAGGAAAATTACTGACCATATTTTATACCTAAATCACTTAGCACATCCACTAATATTTACGTTCCACATATTGTCAAGCACAGTGCCTCATATATCATAAGCTTCAATAATTTTTATCCATCTGATTAGCCACTAAAGAATAAACATGACTTTCAAGACATCTGTATAAAATACTTAGAAATAAAAAATTGGGAAGGAAATTACTTAAATTTAACAAAATATATAAAAAAGAAATTATCTCACTTGCCATTCCAACAAAATTGCCAGTGCAAATATTTATAATTCAGCAAAAATTTGCCAGAACTCAACTTGAAAAATGTATGAGTAAATGTACACACATGTACATACATATATCATATTATAGATACATCTGTAGGTATTGATATAATATTTACATACCTATCTTATATAGATAATGTAAGTATGTAATAGTGGTCCAAAAACAATGTATCCCCAAAATATGTATTTTCTATACCTGATTTAAATGATTTTGAAATCATAATTGATTGGCTATAAGATTAGACATATATGTGTATATATGGGGTATCTGTACATACATATGCTGACATATGTGTGTACTCCTAAATATATACATGTGTATATAAACAAGGCTAACTTTCTTAGATTTTCAAAATCATTTAATCAACCTGGGAAAAATTTACTCTGATATTGTTTTCAAAAATGGTTAGCTGTTAAATTCTAGTTACTGATACATCTTACTATGTTACTCTTTTGATAGATATCATCAATTTTAAGATTCACTTTTAATTGCAGGGAAAAAAAATACATGTTAAGTATCCACATGGTTTATAAGTGGGTGCTCGTTACCATTCAAATTTCAGAAATATTTACATGTACAAAAATGTGCCTTTACATTGAAAGAGTATAATCATGGGATGAGCTATTTCAAAATAAGACATCCAGCAATAAAAAAACTCTAAAGAAAATAGGTGGAATTTTTAAATAGATAATCAGAGATAACTATTTAATTGATATGTTTCAAATTAGGACTTGCATTCTGCTACCAGCAGCTTCTAGGTATTAAATCAAACTAGGAAATTGTATGTGCACATACAAACACACATTGTATAAATGTATCATGTCTTATTATTTTTCATAAATCATGACCACAGAAATTACAAATTACTCACAGTAGAGTTAATTCCAAGTAAGTGAGAAATGATTCAGCATATATGAGGTGTAAGTTTCCATGACAAATAAGAACAAGTATATAAAATTCTACAAATATATGACCCATAACACATTACAGAGCATTGATTTCCCAGAGGTTAATGTAAAACTCATGTGCCCAGGAGTTTGTTTTCTCCTATAATTCAATTCTATTCATGCTGCATCATTACTTTTACATAATAATATATTTTAGTTATTTGGGCTATTTCATCTGTAACAACAGGAATTCTTATTTATTTTAAATGGCAATATCTTATTTTATTGTTAAACATTTTCTTCATGATCTTTCAATCACTTTGATCATTTTTTAGTGTATGATATTTTGTATTCACATATCAGATAACTTCATGTTTCAAATTTTATTTTATTTTATTTTGTGGCTTCCCAAATGCCTATTGTAGAAGCAATCAAAATTTTAAAAACCACATAAATAGAAAGGGCTACTCAAGTATTTCATTTGATCAACTGGAGTATATTTCTGCCTTTGAGGACTAAGTCCTACACATTTGGCACATGAAAACAATCATATAATAAATAATCTCAAAAGAAATGAACACTTTAATTGAAAAGAAAACAAGGAAATATTTTCTCAACCAATTTTCACTGAAGGAGAGATAAATGTAAGTAGAAGGTAAGGATGGAAAGAGAAGAGGCAAAAACCATTCTAATGCATGGAGAGGAGGAGAAAGAAAGTAAAGATGCAGTAATAAAAGAATTAAACCTAGACATTCTATTTTTCTTAGCTTTGGGCTCTTATCTTAACCAAGAAGAGAAGGAAATTTATTCTGATGTGCTAAAACAGAAAAATATTTTATCTATTTGCCAAACAAGAATGGAAGAAGCTTTTATCCAAGGGAATTCAGCAACATGAATTAGTAATTAGGATATTTAACTGAGATTAGGGCTGAAGGTTCCTGAAATCCACCTACTTTTTAGGACAAGTTTTTATCATATTGAAAAAATAATAGGAATGATCTCTAGACTTTGATATCTGATTATATTTCAGACTACCCTTTCTCTGGAACATGTATGTTTCCCTTCTGCTCATAATGGTCATGTTTGCTTTTTTCCTCACATGTTTGGAACTTGCTTTCTTTCATTAGCAATGGAGTCCCTTTCTCACTGATATCACTGATTTCTTCAAACTAAAATCATCCTTGGATGGTTTTTAGACCTTCACAGGAACCAAAGATTTTTTTCTGGGAGTTCTCTAAACTCTAAGTTTTAGATATATGGACCAAACTACAGACATTAATATTTCAAGGAATCTTCGTGGTGAAATAAATATTAAGAAGTTATGGGTAAGAAAATAACCAGAATTACTTGACTAGACAATTCTCTTCTGTAATGGTTCTCAAAGTGTGGTGTGTAGGATAACAGCACCAGCATCATGTGGGAACTTATAAATTCCAGGTCCTACCTCTGACCTATTGAATGAGAAACATTGGGGGCAAGGGAATGGAAACTTAAAGAAGGGGAAGGTGATTTTTATGCATGTCAAAGTTTGAGAATCATTGTTCTTTTGTATCCTAACCAAATATAAAAAATAATTTTCTTAGTTCTAAAAACACAGTAAGGGAAAGCAATTTTCTGACTATGCCAATAAAGATTTTATTATTTTCAAAACTACTTAAGCTACTATTTATCTGAAAATTCTAGTTAATACTTAAGCAGCTTCACTCCAAACTTTAAAACTGTTGCACTGAGCTTACTACATGAGAATAAAGGACATTAGCAGAATAGCATGGGGACACCTGAACCACAGATGCAACCCTAGAGGTTAGTCAGGTCAGCATTTCACAGTCTCCAAATCTTGCCCCGAAAGTTGTCTGTCTTTTTATAACTGACTTTTCTCATATCATTTTTTTCCCCAGATACCTTTATCAATGAATGTGTCAACCTTTCTGGCATACGACCAGCCCACAATAAGTTACTGTGGGATGCATCATGAACTTCTCTCTCATAAGCCCTTTGAAACGAATGCACAGGAAGATACGCTGGAAACACACCTAGAGACTGAGCTGGACCTGAGCACAATCACAACAGCTGGCCAAATCAGTGACCATAAACAGCCGCTAGCTTAACTGAGCTAATTGGTAGCCAAGGGTTGCTACCAAACTTTGTAACCTCAAGGACAAAATGAGGAAGATTCATTCATTGTGGACTCTAAAAAATAAAACAAAACAAATCCCCTGTTCAAATAAACAAAAATCCAAGATTAAGTCATGAAATAAAGAAGACATGAATTGTTTTAAGTCTACACTTTGTAATTAGCTAAGTTGTGCAGTATTTTTTTGACTTTAAACAGAGTATGACCCTGAAAAAAAAGAATCGTTTTTTTCAAAACTCATCCTACCTACCTGTAAAAACTGTACAGAGCTAATGTATTTTTCATATTGTAAATTTTCAATTATAGAAACAACTGGTATATACAGTACCATAATTTAATTACATTTTACTTTACAAACTTTACATATTTCAGTTTCTAAAATTTTAAATTAACAAAAATTATTTCTTGTGTTATCAGAGTTACTCAGTTTTGTAGGGACTGTTTTGTTACTGCTTTTGTGCCCAGAAACCTTGACTCTAAAATTCTGTGCTGTATGAAACATGCACGATTTTTACGATGCTTACTGCGTAGAATTTTATCTACTTGTTCCAGAAATAATACATTAACCAAAAAGGATTTAATTGTTCAGACTTGTAAGAGATTCTTCAACTACATAGACAGGTTTTTCTTATAAATGGAAAAAAATCAAAGATTTTTTTTAACAGTTCTCAGATTTAACTGTTGCCTTGAATTACAGCCTAGTTTCTAAGCAGTGAAATGTAATGATAAAGAGGGATATTTTAACAAATATTTCCGAATGAATGACTCATTATTTTATTCTTTTGAATAACCATTGTTAAGGGTGTGGGGGGGAAGCATGGACAAAACATCACTGGAAACAAAGGCCGTAACCACAGCAACAGACTTTGATACACTTAAAAGGTGCAGCTGCCAGTGACAAAGAAAAACTTTTGTTACATCTCATTATTTTCAGGCCAAGGTGGGAGGACAGAGCATAATAATTTGTACAGTAGCAATTTTTCTCCTAATTAACTCAAAGTGGTTTACCTAAAAATAACCATCAGTCAATGCAAAATGTGCCTGGTTCTTAAGACAACTTTTCATTTAGAACTGTGAGATTATATTTTGGGAACATTTCAAAGGAAATATATGAATTTTTTGTATTGTGTGCTACATCAATTCTTTCCTGAAGGAGAACTTCAAATATCTACAGCTCATTCAAAATAAATATGAGCATGGTGGAGAACTTTCACTCAAGTAGACTATAAACATCCTTAATATATTCCAAATTATTTATCTTGCTGTCCATAATGGAATCCACCTCCAAATTATCTGAGAAATAACTCAGAGTATTTTGACACCACCCCAGATCATATTTGATTATGCAATTATATTATAAAGCTAATTCAAATGAAATTAAGAAAACCTGACTTTTCAAAGGCTGAAATAATCAAATTGTTTCTGTTGTTTGATTGACACAGGTTGTTGTTTGAAAATATTGTTACTTTATCTGTGTTAACCACACATTCTTCTTGATCTTTTTTTTTAAATATAAACTGCAAGTTTCAATTACTGTTGCACTAGGAGAAACACTTTTTATATTGTCATTTGATATTCATTACATCAAAAATAGATCAAGAATATATCAATCTACTGGGTCAAACAATCGAAAAGAATGAGGAAAAAATTAGTGAAAAGTAATGTCAAACTTTTAATGTTTTATCTCTCTCAAAGAAATCGTACCTACAAAAGTCTAATTTTATGCAGGTTCATCACAGCAATTTTAAAATCAGCTTCAAGAAGAATGAACCTAAAAATTGTAGATCAAATTTTTGTTGAAAATATACAAAGTCAGAAAGAAAAAAGATGTAAATGTTGGAAGAAGCAAACTATATTACTAATTTAAATTAAACTAAATGTCAAACACACTACTTGTATCAACTATTTAGTATCCCAGATTTTGTAACATATTTTGCATAAATTATTTGCTATTCAAAATTTTTGTCATTTTAAGTCTAATTTTACTCTTTTTTTTCCAATTTCTAATTTATTTGCATTGTGTTATTCTACAAGTATTCTTAATCCTCTACACTGAGATTTTACTTCTCACAGCACATTTATAGAAGCCTATAAATCTATTATCTGTGAGTCTAAAATCAAGTGCAAAATTTTATTCATTATGTAAACCAAAATGTCATTTGCAATTTTTCTCATTAGAAGTTGTCCTTACAAATATATGCCCTTGATTTCCTGAAGCAAACCACTTTCTTTTTAAAATGTTTTACGGTCATCTAAAGTAAACAACTATAAATAGAAGCAATTACCTTGGAACCATGGCTCTGTGCATCCAAGGCCCTGAGCTACTGTAAAAGCCAAATGACCTAAGAATTTTGAAATTTCTCATATTTGAAATAAAGACCAAAAGGGTCTTTAACAAGAAAAAAAAAGATTCTGGGTTATTTGTTTGCTTAATTTTTATTCTGCCATGTCCAGACTCCGGGTAGAATCTTTATAACATGTTTGTAATTTATATCAGTTTGTTTCTAAAACTTTTGTTTCTAACCTATCTTTTCCAGCATTCAATAATCTCCCACTTCCTTCCTCTAATCACTCACTCCATATATCCCTTCCTGTGTATTGATCACCTATTTAAGCAACTAAAATGTTTAGTTGTGTTTGGAGTTGAAAAATGGAGACTTGGACCCAGCGTGGTTGCAGTAATAGCAGCAGCTAAGCAAACAATAAAGTTATGCAGTGTTTTGAGGTTTATAAACCACATTTTAAATAAATTATGTCATTTTGTCTTCTTTACAACCCTATGAAGACACATTAATCTCAAAGAAGTTGAGCCCTCACCCAAGAACACAATTGGTATAATTGAACCATTCTCAAAACTTAGAGGTTATTAGTCTTTCCACTATACTAAAAGCTTTCTCTCTCTGATCAATGCCAGAGAACTTCCAGAGAGAGCGAGGATTTGATTGAAAAAAAAAAAGTTTGAAATGTTGTTTAGTAAATGCTAATTTAATTCACTTCCACTATCTGTATAATATGTGGACTATATGAACTCTCTGTGTGCTACTCTGGACTCCCAGTTAAAACTCTATTCAGAAAGTATAGCAAATCACATATTTCTTCACATACAAGATCATTTGCTACTGTGTAGAACAGTTGCTCCCAAGATGTGGATGCATGTAGGCCCCAAGATGCAGACACAAAATCAAGAAGCACAAGGAGAGAAACCAAAGACTTTCTAAATTTCTAAATAATTATAAGAGATCCCATAGTGCAAGGTTGAACACATGTGCAACACATGCTCAATTCAGAGCTGATTGGGAACACTTGTATAAAATTCTTTTTTTTTTTTTCCTTTTTTTGTTTTGGCAAGATTTATTGAACCATGAATTTTATTTACCCATCAGAAAACAATCTTCTCAATTTTCTCTAAAAATAAAATATAATATATTCAAACTGATTACTATAGATGCTAAAACATATGCTAACATGCAAATAATATATTTTACTAATGAACTCATTTTTGTCAAGTCTCTATCCCTGGTCCCTCCTGAATGTTCTAGAAAACCATAAAACTGTACATATTTTTAGTATAAATTATATTTTTAGAAGGACAGAAAACTTGCCCAAATTTAACATTCAAGACTAATGACATAATCCTATTTTGAACCCAGATCTGTCTGATTCCATAAACTGCTTAAGAATAGCAGAATCTTTTTGCAAAAGTGTTTTCTAACGTCTAACCATTGAAATAAATACATTTGTTTTTGACTGTTCCTTACTGGAAAACAGATATCATCTCTCAAACTAAATGTTCAAAATAAGTAAAGAAACTGAAAGCATGGAAACAGATGTCTGATGTGAAATGTTAGTAAGCTGTAAGAAAGAATATCGGATGTTTTAGGTAAATGGAAGCATCTGAAAATAGAGGTAATGGGACTGACAGATTTTTGGCCTGAGGAGAGAAGGTAGGAAATCTCCAGAGTAGATATAATAACATCTTATATTGAAATACCTCTTAACAGTTCATCATGCTGGGTAATAGTATAACAATCTCATAACAAATAAAATGTCTCAAGGTCCAGATGAATTGCTCTTACAGTAAGAACTTCCAACTACACTCATTACCTTCTCAATTCTCCACAGCTATCCCTAAATAAGAGTGGCACCAAGGGCAAAGGAACCAACATCAATGCTTTCACAGTTCTAATACACCCACAAAGGTAGAGTGGATGGACAGTCAACAGTTGTGCTTCATTTTACCATTAGCTATAATGGAGAAGAAACATTTGAAAATTAAAAAAAAAAAAATACTGGAATGGTGATGGGTTATTTTTAAAGGTCTCCTATGACTTGCATATGATTTTATTGTGAGATAGGAGGCAGCTTATATTTAAATTTTTTAAATTTAGGATAAAATTTATGTTTAAAAAAGTCTAGAGTTGATTATTTACCTTCTGTTAAGGACAGTGATCTTAAAGCAGCAGAGTGCCTCAGCCATCTAGGACTTAGGAAACTCTGGAGTTTCTTCCTCCTCTCTCTTATGTATAGATTTTGTTTTATATGATATTCATCTTCCTGAAAAGCTGAGTGAAAGTTTGTTTTGTATAAATCAAATACTATCTCAAATGCATCAAGAGACTTTGTGATAAAGGATCCTTGAAATTCTTTTTGTTTTCTAATCTGAAACATTACTTGCTAATTTATCTTCTGTAAATTAACTTCCATATACCTTGTGTTGTATAATGTAGCACACTTGTATCGTGTGACCTTGAAGGTTCTATGAGGCAGTGTCTGTCTCAGACTATATAAAATGAAGGGCTGACTCCAGGTTTTGAGTTGGTCTAAATGAGTAATCAATTTCAGTCTTTTCTACTTACTGAATTTATGTGGATTAATGTGAAAAAGAGTAGTAAGACAACATGGATGGATAACGTTGACAGTTAATTTTTTCTGTTTATTTGTTTAAACTTTTACCACCTATCATGTCCTCAAAGTTACTATTAAGAGGTCGAGATGACTCCAAATCTCTTGGGGCAATTCTAGGTTTACTGAATCAGAATATCTGGGATGGATCCCAAAATATGCATTGCTAACACATTACTCAGGTGATACTAATGCATGCTACGTTTTGAAAAATATTGCTCAAATGAATTTACTTTTACCAGGTCATTGAATTGCTTTTTACTCTAACCTAAAATCATTAATTCTTGTGTTTTCCTATACCAATGCGAATCTACTTTTCTAAGCCTGACAGAACGTTTTTACTTGACTACAGAAATACAAAACAAAGGACAACTATATAAAAAATGCTCAGATTGCTTTCTGACAGACTGTGTTGTTTATAGAATTTGCTTCCCATTAAGTCTTTCAACAGGCATATGTGAACACAGTCTTAAAGCAGCTAGGTTAGTTACTTAACTTGTTAGTTGTTCCAGTGGATAATAATACAACAACTGAAAAGCTAGAGGTGGGGAGAGAAACAGGAATTAATTTATGATGTATCAGGTATTGTGCTCTCCTGATCTCATTCTTAAACCATCTAGGAAAGAGAAAATTTTAAAGAAGAGGAAAATAAAGATCATGATAGTTAACTTGCCAAGACTCATACAGTAGAGAATTCAAATCCAGATTTGTAAGACTCTAAGAAAATGCTCCTACCACACTCCATAGCACATTTTCAAAAATGAGAAATCAATATAATTAGGCTCATATATTTTAATGAGAGGGCAGTAGAGACAGTAGGAAAAGAATATGCCTTTCTATTTTGAAATAGAAAAATTCTAAAAATCATTTCACACCACAGAGATTTCCTTCAAAATCCCAAATCAGCAAATTAATGGAAAGAAATATCCATTACTTTCTTGAAGTTTTATACATGGTTTCCTAAATAGAGTGGACATTTGAAAGAAAATCCTTCAAAAGATAAATATTCCCAAATATTCAAATTGTATTTTCATTTCCAATCATCTTAGCTCTTATTAAATTGAACCAAAATATGATAAATATCCAAAATATAACCTTCAACTGGCTAAAAAGGGAAGGGGGATTGCCAATTAAAGCAAAAACTATATGGGTGAACAGTCAATAAAGTCACCAAGTGCAAACAATGAAGTTGAGAAAATACCAATAATCAATCATCACAAAATGTCAACTGGCAATGGCATAGCTGGGGTTGCAGAAGATTTCCTGTGAATGATTTTATATGACAATATTCTTTATGGGAGTATTATGACTTACACAAATGGTATGGGATCTAGAAGCATATTACATTAAGAAGGCAGGAAGATAACCTTTATAACAATGCAGATTCCACTTGTCCTGGTCAGAATATAATATATAATTTAAAAGTAAATATAATTTCCTTGTTAGGTCAATGCAACTGTTTTTATCATTATGTGGAGATGGACAAATAAAATCATTTTTAAAAACTTCTTTTGCAGCTCACATCTTCAAATAAGTCTTCCTCGGGATCAGCTATTCACAAATGATTCTTAAATAGTCTCTTGATTCCATTAGTGTCTCCATTATTAAATCACTGGGTTGTCTCTTCTATTTCTCCCAGAACTCCACATGCCCAAGTTATTGGGAAATTACATTCGTATTTTACTCTGTCACACTATCTGAACATGTAGCATCCATGTAAAACATACTTTTCTTTTATAATATAATGCATGCATTCAAGAGCCAGTTAAAAACTCTGTAAATCACACCTTCTACTAAAAATGTCCACTACTGCAACTGTGATAAAAACTAGGCTATACATTTAAATAATTAATAAATCCAGCAAAGAAATAAATTCTAGTATCCTGAATCTAATATGATTACATCTTCTCATTCTGACACTACTACCACCATATAGAAATTTTATCTGAAATATCTGGAACAATTCTGATTGTGGTCAACAAAGATGTTCTTGGTATCTGGGTTGAAGATGTTGTGAAAGACAATGAAGGAAACAAAAAAATTACATATACCCAGAGGTAAGTCAAAGAAATGTACTTATTATTAGATAATCTGCAAAATAATTTTTAAAACTAAGACTCATAATTATAATTTATAATAATATTTATGCCATAAAGTATCATCATAAAAGCCAGAGTGGACATTAGGGATACAAGAACAGACAGATATTTGTGATAGCAATATATATTAGATAGATAGATAGAAAGGTAGACAGATAGGATGAATTAATTTAACCAAAGGAAAGATATTAAGAATAAAAATTAATTCAAGAGCTATCACTATCATTTCTACAGAGGGAAATTGAAAAGTAAGAGAAAAAAGATTCAAATTAAATGCCAAATGATCTTTTTGAGGCCAAATTTAACATAAATCCAAAACTATAAACCCTGAATTGCTGCTTCAATCATTTGAGTAATTACATTAATTCACATATACCTAGTCAAAATCTGATTTTAAAAAATGAATTGTAATTTTAAATATACTTCATCTGTTCATGCTGTTTTAAATCAATGCTATATTTGTTTTCAATTACAGATCCATAAATATAATGTCCTAAACAGTCTCTTGAAAATGTAGTAAAAGATTGGTCACCCCTGTTGTTCTGCTCTGCCATAAGGCAATTGTCAGAGTGGAATGTTCACCACACTGGGAAGATGGAAATACAGTGAAGTTCTCTCTAGTAGGTTGACTTAGGCACTTCTAACACTCATTATCTCTGGGTTTTGTTTTATATTCATTTATAAAATAAAGAAATTAGTGCCTAGTCTGACTATACTTATACCAAAGAGATTTAGGGAAAGACCCTGAACATCTCTGAATTTACATGGTATCTCGAGAAAAACCTGAGATCCTTGTGATGTCAACATTTTTTCACCTTTGGATTTGATGGAAATTTAAGTTCAGTGTATTGGAAATACTTCAAAATTCCTTGCAAAATTCCAGTTTTTCTTAACAGACATCAAACTTCAGTCTCCTGAGCCAACATTGGCTTTTACACATGGCTATTTAACAATGAACCATTGCTATATTTCATCATGTTGTGAAAGAATAACATGAGGCTGGGGTTGTAGCCTTCATTGACTTTTCCTTGCCTTTGATTCCAGTTACAGGTTAAAATGTGTGAGCTTGACGCAGCACCTCGGTACTACCATAAAGGGGTTGGAAGAACAGTCTTCTGACACATAAACACTTTAGTAATAAAAAACAGAAATGTAGTTTGGGGCCACTTCTTTTTAACTTAATAATCTGATAAAGGTTTCAGATAAGTTAAGTACCTGGCTTCCTGCTACTGAGAATATAAATGTAACTGTCTACAATGAAAACATGGTTTTGTTGTCATATACTTTCAGTTTCTGAAGGCAGACCTAAGACAACTGATTGTGTTCTATAATTGCCACCAGAAGGAATGTCTGTTTAATTATTTCCAGAAAGAATGACTTAATACCAAGCACTTTAAGACAAAATAACAACTAACACTTATTGAATGTTTACTTTTCTAAGCATTTTACATGTATTAATTCATTTAGTCCTCATTTATATGGTTAATAGGACTAACAATAACCCTATAAGTATTATTATTTTCCCCTTAATAAGATAGCAAAAATGATGCACAAAGCAATTATATTAATATAATTATATATAATTAATATAACATACAGCTAGTAAATTGTGGAGCAAGGCTTCAAATCCAAGTGATAGTTATACTGACAAATTGACTGCTACTAACTGCTTATTTAAAGTCCACTTTACAGATCCCATTCTTAGATTTAAAAGTCTACTCACTTAAGGTTATAACTGAAGACATTTTACCAGTACAATGGGTATATTTATTACATACCTAATATATGCCTGGTGGAAGATAAGAATATCTGAGAGATATCTAAGAGCATCTGATATAGTCTCTGTCCCCAAGGGGCTTGCAGTCCTAGCAAATAGGAAAGGCATCCATATTTAATAGAAATAAATTCCAAGAGCTAAATTTAATGCCTGTAAGTGCAAACATCAATTAGGAGAAGATGAAATCAAAGTTAGTAGAGTTGTTGGGGATATCTCAAGGCAAAAGTGAGAATTAAAACTAGTGGTATTCGGCCGGGTGCGGTAGCTCACGCCTGTAATCCTAGCTCTTGGGAGGCCGAGGCGGGCGGATTGCTCAAGGTCAGGAGTTCAAAACCAGCCTGAGCAAGAGCGAGACCCCGTCTCTACTATAAATAGAAAGAAATTAATTGGCCAACTGATATATATATAAAAAATTAGCCGGGCATGGTGGCTCATGCCTGTAGTCCCAGCTACTCGGGAGGCTGAGGCAGAAGGATCGCTCGAGCCCAGGAGTTTGAGGTTGCTGTGAGCTAGGCTGACGCCACGGCACTCACTCTAGCCTGGACAAAAAAGTGAGACTCTGTCTCAAAAAAAAAAAAAAAAAAAAAAAAAAACTAGTGGTATTCAGGTGGGAAAGATGAAGATGAGAGGACAATGAAGAAGAAAGAATATTATATTTAATGTTTGGACATCTATTATTCTAATAGTATTTGTTAGATTCATTTTTCTCTGGAAAAGAAATAATAGGATCAATTTTTGTCCTGATTGCCTAGAAGTTCAGAGCCAAATTTTACTCTGGCTACAGCAAATCTTTTGGCTTTCCTAGATGGACATAAATATTTCCTACATTTTCCTCAACTCTATTTCTCTTTACATTTCTATTTTATCTGTTGTGTTTTATCTTTCTTTCTGGGGAAGGGGATCATATTAATCCTTTGTAGAAAATGTTAAACAAGTTTCAATAAAATGTTCATAAAACATTTTGAAGACTGATCCATGTGACCCCATTAATTTAAAATAATGATATGAATTAAATTAACTTCTTAGAAACTAATTTAATTATAACATCCTCAAA